TTTCGTACGGGTGGTCTCGATACTCTTCTTCGCTTTTGTCCTACTCGAGTTGAACTTTCAAAAGGGTTGTCGTCTTTCATTCTTAACTTACGACATTTTCCTTTCCCTTTTTCTTTTTTTTTACATTCGAGATAAAGAATACTCCGTGTGTTTTATTTAAAGTACTTTCTTTTTTGTTTTTTATTTATAAGTATAAATTTTGTCTTTAACATTTTGAAAACATCAGTTAATGTTACCATATAAGACCAGTTTCAAAATACGTATCTCTCTGTCTGTTTCTCTAACACTTTTTCGAGTAACATGCAACGAAGTAGATAAAGCTTGAAAATATTAATCGCATGTCGGGGTAAATGTATTTTTCAAAATTTCAACGCGCCGTTCTATAATGCTCCAATAGTTAATGCGGAACCATTAGTCAAACGTCGGGATTCGTGCACACGAAAAGAGAAATTTCGATTTTAAATCGCTACATTTATCATGCAAGCAGGCGCATATGACACCGTTCTGATTTTATTTTATATATTTTCCTCTCTTTCTTGCTTTTCCCTCTCTCTCTCTCTCTCTCTCTCTTTCTATCTCATTCTCTTTCTATTTCTCTTTCTTTCTTTGCCTCTCGTTTCGCGTGTTAAACCCCTTTTTCGATCGTACAGCTATAACAGGCTACAAGTTTCGAAACGTTCTTCTCCTTCTATAAAACTAGTTCACTCGACACTGCGATACTCCTCTCTACGTTGGATAAAACATTTGTCCTACGAAAGAAGAGTTGAATTCGTGTTTTAAATTTAATCAAATAAGGTGTTAATAAAGTTTCTTTTAAATTTCCTTACCTTACAACATAATTATTAAAATGTAATAATATGACAATCACGTTGAGAAGTTTATTAAATGATATTTTTTCGAAGTTTATCGTATGATTCGAAATAAAAAAAAAAGAACAAAAAAAAAAGAATTATGTCACAGAATGATCACCAATACCTAATCTAAAAGCTATACTTGTCTCATAAAATTCTCTTTCATCCATCCATCCATCCATCCTCGTAAACACGCTATCAGAAAATAATAAAAATGCCGAGGGAAATAGGTTTGGAGTCCGTACCCGAGACTATAGCGCACCCAGGGCCGCTCGTAAATTTTGGTCCACGATTTACTCGTCTATTTATTTCTCCTTTAGAAAATCTATCGTTATATAAGTTTCTGGGAGAGAATTCTTCCGCCGTGCACGCCGTGTGTTCGGGAAACGAACTAAGAGAGAAAAAAATATTACTTCGCGTTTGAATCCTTTTCTTCTAACCGAATAGAAAACTATTATTCGAAAGAAATCGTGTCTCGTTTTTCTTTTCCTTTCCTTTTTTTTTTTTTTTAATTTTCTTCAGGTATCGTTTATGTTTGATATTTAAAAACTCTAAATGATCGCGTTCGATTTATCACCGAAGTATTTCGTTATTTAAAGCACCAAACAAAAATTGAATATTCAACGTGCCTATTTTACCGACGATCATGAAACACATGGTCCGTTACGGTAAACAACGATTCAATTGATTCGTGACTATCGAGATGTAATGAATATGGAAAATAAATATTTTACACATCGATTTACTCTATCGATCGTTCAACAACTGCAATTTTATCGCATGTATAGTTACATTGTATTTACATAATTTAATGTGTGTGTGTAACACATCTTTGAGAAGGTAGTTGACTCGAGGAATTTAAAGGACAGGTCGATCCTATCTCAACACACAAGGAACACGTATGCACAAATAGAAAAGCGTTTAGCAACCGAAATAGAAAAGAAGAAGGGGTGAGCTCCCCTCTCGGACCTTGGAGATAACTGGGCGTAACCCCCAAAATCATCTTACAAGTGTGCTCATGTATCCGGCCGGATTCGTGAGGGTCTACGAAAATAAAACGAGGCTTGATTTATTTATCGAATCATAAATTACCGAAGTTACAATACGATGCAACGTGCAAAACGCACATCTCTCTATCTCTCTCTTTTTTCTTTCTGTCTCTCTCTCTCTCTCTCTCTCTCTGTCTATCGACCTAGAGCAGGATTGTTTGCGAGGGACTGAGAGCGTAAACGTAACGCGTGTTTGCGTTGCGTGCTCGACCGGAAACACGATTTATACGATGCAAATTAAACGTACTCACTGCTATTCGTGCGACGAAAATCTCGTTGGACGTATTGTTATTATTATTATTAACATTTCTATTAATATATCCTACGATTATCACGAAATATCCTAGGATATATAGAAAAATGTCATTGGTTTTTAAAGTATTAAAGATTAAATCGCATATACGTTTAAATCGATCGTTATAAAAAATATGGTTATAACGTTAACGTGAGATAATCTTAACAGTAACTCTTTAGAAGGGAGTTAAATTTATGCGATCTAAACATAATGGATCTCTCGTTTATGCTCGTTATTAGAGTCCTTTAAATACTTACTGATTCGCCAAGCATCATTTGAGGGTTGATCTCATTGCATAGATTTTAAACAGGAGGACCCCTTTTATTGAATGGACCACTGAAATTCCATTTTGAATGCAGACGGGAAATTTTTTACGGTACCGTCTGCGTGTCCGTCGATTGGTCACACAAGATAAGAGCCACAATCCGATTGCAAATTGTAAAATTAATTAATCATTTTTCTCATAAGACCAAAAGTATGTATATAATATTTGAATTAAAAGAGAAAATAGAGAAAAAAAATATCAAACGATTTCATATTTATAAAGTATCTTCGAGAATCGGTATACAAGCGAATGAAGTAAGATCGGCATACCTGTAGATCCACAAAAATGGCTAATTCATAAGGCGCTATTAATATCGTTCCTTTTAGCACATCGTCGATAAACGTCCCAACGGCGAGAACATGTTGTGACACCGTTAAGGGGCGTTTTGGGGTCTGCCGTTTTGTGTATGCTCCCCTTTTAGACTTTTCGTCCTTACACCAGCAACGTATCAGCCTTTGACAAACGACCGACATTAATTTTAACCTAGTGAAATTTAAGTCGTCGTCGAATCGGCACGAATCTCGTTCCCTCGAATTTTGGCTTTCCTTTTGTTCAATGCACTTTCGACACGTCCAAATATTGGCGATTTATTTCAAATTTTATTCCTATTGAATTTATACCTATGCTTATATTGCAAGTAAAGGTTTATCCACATTAACGTAAATGAATATAATCGCATGGTGATAAAAACTAAAACGTTAAACTCACATCTCGGAGATATAGTTTATTAAAACACGGTCTTTACGATATAAACGTTAGCCGGTAAGATTTTGACGAAGAGATAACGGATAACGCGAAAGTCATCCGCTAGATAACCGTCAGATCGATGGATAAGGATGAAAAATGGCGTGCGCACGTACCAAGTGGAAATTCGCTTGCAAAAGGGTAGAACGACATTTGGAATTAAAAAATGGTGCCTTGGGCCGATGTCGCTCACAGTGATGCCACCGTGACAGCCAATGTAACGCACGAATTAACGAAATAATTGATTTTCATACCGTTTCGAAACGAACGACCAAATACAAAAGACCAGGCGAAAACGTTTGCCAAACCGAAAGGATATTTCCTCGATTTTCTATTCGCGAATATTTCAATGTTTGCCCACGCGACCGGCCAGTCGCTTGAAAACTTTCCGAAACAATTTTTTTTCTATATGCGCATTACGCCCTGAGCGAGTATACCATGAATACCACCAACTACGACAAATTGTAAATTGCCTTACAAAGTTCTATTTGCCTTTTTTATTTTTTGTTCATTTTTTTTTTAATTTTAATTTCCCTTTTTTTTTGCTTTTTTAGATAGAAAAAAAAGAGAGAAATAAAAAGGCGATCCGCAAAAATTGCTTTTTCAATCGAACGCAACACGAGCGTGTGGTGTACACCTACCTAATAATTTGATTCGATAGGATTGTGTATATCAATTTGGTAGCTCGAAAAAAGGAACCCTAAATTCCGGGCTATTGTACGCAGGTAAGCTCGTTTTTACGTCTCGTAACGTTAATGGGAAAAGCAAAAGAGATTATTCGTAGCTGGTCTGGTAATGTAAGCCGTCGAGCACGTTGCTATACGGTACTATGGTAGGGCTTACGTAGAGAAAGCAGAAGAGAAAGGAAAGCAAGAGAGAAAGGGAAAGAGAAAGAGAGATCTGGGAGAGAGAACAGATTTATATTTGAAATTAGATTAAGCTTCTGCGCTTGAAAGCTATATAAACGCCCCCCCCCCTCCTCCTCTCCAACCTCCGCTCGCGTCGCTTACGTTCCTCGTTCCACAATCTAACGGGAGGAGAGGGACTCAATAAACCAACCACTCACTCTTTCTTCCTATGTCTCTCTCTCTCTTTCTCTTTCTCTCTCTATTTCGCAAGCCCGGCTTTTCTCTTCCACCGCCCTCTTTCTCTCTCTCTCTCTCTCTCTCTTTCTCTCCTTTTCCTTCTTTATCTTCCTACCTTTTCTCTTTCCTCATTTTCATCTCACTTTCTCTCACATCCACGAACTTCGCTTTTCCTCCTTTTCCCATCTCAAAACCGATCGTTCCTTCTCCCTTCGTCTCACTTTCAAATCGTATCGCCAGCCTTTACCACGTAATTTTCTCCTCCTTCTCTTTCTCTCCTACTCTTATTCCTACTCCTACTTCTCCTACTTTATTTCTTCCTTCATTCTTCTTCCATTCCTTTCATAGCAATTACCGACTCTTTCTGGCCGATCTTTCTTTCTCATTTTATCGTCATTTTCGTTATCTCGTTCTCCGATCCATTCGTATCATCTCTCTTTCCAACCATCAACCTCTTATCACTCCTTTCTTAGAATGCTTTAGCACCTTTTTTTTACCTCTAATACATTTGCTCCCACATAACTATAACATAATAATAATGATGATAATAATAATATCAAAAAAACCATCGGAGAGAAAAAATAAACATAAGGATATTATAATACCTAATACATTAAATGATTAAACTAAAATTTAAACAGAACTGTGTGTTTGTGTCGTGTATGATTGTCGTTTAACCTGTATGAGAAATCAAAATGTAATTTTATAAATGTAAAACTTCGTATACAAAAAAGGGAAAAAATCATACAAGCTACCATGTAAGATGCATTAAAAAGGATCGTACGATACGATAAAACAATATCTGCCACAACATTCGTTACGAAAATAGTAGTATCCATACAAATATTTGTGCATATTTGTAAATCAAAGTAGAATAACATTGAGTTTTTGCATATCCTCTCCAATATTATTGCTTCACATTGGGGTCTGCAGCGCACCGGCTCCGATACCATAACCGTATCCTTGCGGTCCGAAATTTCTGATGTAGCATTCTAACACACAGACAAGAAAAGAAAAAAAAGAAAAATATATGTAACATATTAGAAATCACAACGAAATAGAGATTTCATCATTTATACTAACGTTTACAATAAATCTCGCCACAATTCTCTTGATACGTTAATGGTTCGAGAGGTTTACGACAGCAGAAGCAACTGAAGCAAATGTTGTGATAGGGCACACCGGATGCGATCTTGTTAAGGTTCAATAAACATATATTTATTAAGAAATTCAAGATCACTTTTGTCGGTCATTTTAAGATCAAGTTCAAATATACACCACCTGCATTTCAGCTTGGTACACTTTCCGTCCGCAACGTTGACAATCTAGACCACCACCTAGGCATTCACATCCTGGAGGTAGTTTAGTCTTGCAACAGGAATCAGCTCTGTCGATATCGCAGCACGTAACGTTGTCGCAACAGCAACCACCGCTGAGAATAGTACGGCATGGTGAACTTCTCGACCTACACAGACGTTTGAAAATCATTTTTAGATGTAAGAGGTCGGTACATAAGTTCTCTTACCGGCAGTAGCTCGAGCCACTACCTCCACTGCAACATCCTCCTGCACTGGGTGGTCGGCAACATGGTGAAGTCGGATTACAAGGACGCGGAGATGTACAAGTTGTTTCAACGCAAGGAGGAAACGATCGACAAGGTGAAGTCGAACATGGTCGAGCCGGCATACAAGTTTGACCAGGCTTACCACATCCTCCAGAACAACCACTACCACAACATCCCCCACCACCACAACTTGGTAATTCTCCTTTACAAGGTGAACAACAATTTCTTCTAGGTTTCCTACAAACTGGTCTACATCCCGCTGGTGGACAAACTCTTCTATCGATACATGGTGGAGAACAACTAGCACTCTTGCAAGATGCACTTTTATGATTATCCAAACAAGGATCGTATTCCCGCGGAGGACATGACTGAAATTCTAAACATCGTTTGCGGTAACCGCAACCTTTATTTTCTACATTCTGACAAGAAAAACATCCGCATTCCTCACTAATCGCTTTACTAGCGCAACAACCTTCTACTTTTTTTGATTTACGACAACCGTTTCCTCCGTGACCTCCTCTCATACGATCGTCTTCATCCTCCTCATTTTTATCTTCAATGTTGTTCAACGAATCATGAAGATTTTTATGAATACAATTTGGCATATCCTTGTCAATATTGTTATCGTTATGTTTGCAAACGAGCGTATTATCATTACAAGATATTTGCGTGCAGTTAATGGTATCGGAATAATTTAAATCTTCGTCGTTTAAATCCTGATCGAGTTTTCTTACATCCTCGAAGGAACGTATAGTTAGAATATCTACATTTGAACTGTCGTCGAAATTACGATCTTCCAAGAATACTCTACAATCATTCTGCATATCCCGACGACAATCAATAATATTTTTCTTTTCGCAAAAAGACACACGACGGACCGATAATCTTGGACAAGGACGTGGCGTTGATGAATTGTTGATTTGATTTTTATGATTTCCTTCCGTACTGGAAATACCTGCACTTACGATCTTCACTTTTGCATTATTTTTTCTTTTTAAATAAATTGTTTCCAATAAAATCTTGATACGCTATCAACTAAATCAGGGCTTCTTAAGCTTTTTTTAACGAGAAATTTATATAAGATCTTAAGAATCCCTGAAATAGACTAGTATAAAATTATTGCAACAATTTATACCTCGATTGGGACTTTTCCTCTTCTTCGCCACCCCCACGAAGTCTACTCTTCTTCAAATGGTAATCCTTGTTATTTATCGACGATGTTCCACCGATCGAAGAATCTTCGGTGGCACAACAGCAACAGCAATAACAACAGGTGGAATCGTTTAGGGAGATCGATGTATTTGGGATTGTTGCACATGGAAATGTTTTGTTTTCCTTCGATGAAATGTTTCCTTTAGTAGAACGTAAAATAGTTGGAAATAATCGGGAATAACAATTTCGACAAAATAATTCGCCACGATGAGTCGATACTGTACAACTGTCCAATAATTTTCGACAGTTAACTGTAGAAATAATTAAAAATTAAATTAGATGATAAAAAACAATGAAAAAAAATTGTTTATTAATATATTTATTAATTAATTATATTAATCGATATACTTACAACAGGAGAAACACAACGTATGCCAAACTTTTCCGAGAGCCAACCTTTCCTCCGCGAAATAAACTTCGCGATGACAACGTGCGCAAACTCCGGGCATTTATTTTCCTTATTAATCGCGTGAGCGCATTTATACCGTTATCACATTTCAAATTTTGAATAATTTTTTTTACATAAAAAAGGCAAAGAAAAGGAGAGAAAAAAAGTACTTGATAATATACGTCGAAATTCTTAATACATCTTTTCACTTATTTTTTGAAAAATAACAAATCGCGTAAAGTTGGCTGAGAAGAAGATTTCGATTATCGAATTATCGATTTATTTATATAAATCTAATACATTATCGAAATTTTCCTCTATCTTGTATTATTTTATTTTACCCAGTTTAAAGTATTCCTTTTTCATTCTTTTCTAATTGGCAATTTATAAAAAATGTTTTTTTATTTTATATATTAATAAATCATCTGAAAAAAAACAATATTGATATCATTAAGTATAATGAAAGGAATCTATCGAGGGAAATACTACGTGGCACATAAAAACATGTATGATAATATAGTATGTAACTAACTATGTGATTCATTACAGTATTGATATCATTCTAAGAAAACAGGTATGATCTAGAAATAACTGAAGTGAAAAATTAATGAAAAAGTCGGATTAAAATACAAGTTAAATGAACTCTAAAAAAGAAGATTGTACCTCCTGGTAGAATAACCTATATATTTAAATACTTTCTAAACGTTCAACGAATCAGATTGCGCGCTTTCTGCGCGTGAACGGAGTTACGTATGTGCGCATTCGCGGCAAACGTCAAGTCATAGCGCGAGTGGCTCTGTGATTCAAAGAGGTTAAGAGTCTACTTGGAAAGAAATGGCAGCGATAAAGGGTCTCGCAAGGAACATCCCTTATTTAAAACAACAATTTGCGGCTCTTTTAGGAAATACCAGTACCAGCGTAAAGTTTATATGCATCGTAGTACTATTCTCTTATTGTCTTTCTTTCTCCCAAGAAGCGGTGCGCGCTCTCAGCGTGACACCAGGTTACTTAATACCACCAGCATTTTGGATTTGGACGGCCTTCACTTTTTGTTTTCTTGAAATACACTTTTGGGAAGTATGTGCGGATATAGTGACTGTTGGTCTTTGTGGCAAATTAATAGAACCACTATGGGGTGCCATGGAGATGATGACCTTTTTTGCAGTTGTTAACTTTGGAGTAGCTGTACTCTCAGCATTATTTTATTTATTTCTTTATATGTGTACCAATGATACTGATCTATTATTTGATATACATATTCATGGTCTGGCAGGATATATTGCAGGTATTGTGCAATTAGTATTGATGGATATAAAAATATGAAAAAATTAAGATGTAAAAGATCAATTGTATATCAATTATTTATGTGTATTTTTTCAGGTGTCGCTGTTGCAGTTAAACAGATTATGCCAGATCATATTTTAATAAAAACACCGATTGGAAAAATCACTAATAGGAACGTACCTTTAATGGTTTGGATAGTTGGACTTTTGCTTTGGTTAATAGGATTATTGGAAGGTACCCATCCGACTATGTTTTTAAGTGGGTTACTAGTTTCTTGGACTTACCTTAGATTTTATCAGAGACATAATAATGGAACTAGAGGTGATATGGCTGATAATTTTACATTTGCGAGGTGATTATTTTAAAACTTAATTTGTCATTAAATTTCCTTTTGTTATTGCCCATTTGAATATTATGATAATAATGTATTTACAGTTTTTTTCCAAATGTATTACAACCTCCAATAGCAGTAGTAAGTAATACTATACATGGATTTTTTGTACGCATTGGACTTTGTCGAAAAGTAGTTAGAAGATTTGACATGTCAAATGCACCACCAGGTTTGGTAATTAATCTTCCTGGAATTGATCCACATGATAGTGAAAGACGCAGGTTTGTATACTACTTAATATAAAATCTAAAAAAGATAAAAAATGCTGGAAAATCTGCTAACAAGAATTTACTTTTCTATTCCAAATAATTGTATTTACTTGCTTAGCAACAAATTAAAATTATTATCATTTTTCAGGCAAATAGCACTTAAAGCACTGAACGAAAGATTAAGCAAAGATCATACAAAATCATGGCAACAAGATCGAACTAAAAAACATTCTCCTATACCACCTGCAATCTCTATACCAATTCCAGAATCTTCTACAACTAAACCACTCGCATCTCCTCTTATTCCACAAGTTAGCGTCAATATACACAATCATCCTTCTACAAATACGTGATTACTTGATGCAGACTGATTTCAATAGGTTTATGTGTAAATACATTAAGAAGCTTCTAAAGAAAATGTTCCTAAAATGGATTTTATAATATGGCAGTATACAATTAGTAATGAAATTCTAATATATGTATTTTTCGTTAAAAATATATTTATATATTTATGTATATAATGCAACTGTTTCTACATTTGGTCATACTATGAAACAGAGTCATTTAAAAAAATGAAAAGTTCTACATACATAATACATACACACATACGCACACAACATACATTATATAACATGATATCATAAACATTTTATATTTCCATTATAAAATATTATTAAATACAAAATTTGTAATATAACTTTATAGAAGTCTATAAATATTTTCAAATATTTTTAAGGAATTATCATTTCATTTCATGTGTTATTTTAAAAGAGCAGGATTTAATTTTATTTGTAAAAATAACCAAAACAAAATATAACTATATTATAAAATATATTAATATTAATTTGAATTTAATAATACGAAGATAAATAATTAGATAACTATAATTACAAAAAAATATGTTAAATAAATTACTATTTTAATTGCTTTCGTTAATATTATTTATCATATTATTATATTATATACATATATATATATAGCAAAAATTATATATTTGATAGAAATTAATAAAACTTAAGGTATACATAATGTTGATAGATATAATGCCATATTATATTAAAACATAACGATCTTTAGAAGATTCTTAAAAAAAAAATAGGAAGTATTAAAATTTATCTTTGTGCAATTTGTGATGCTGTTTTCCAACAAAAGCCATGTTCTTTGTTGCTAAAGATTATGGAATCTATTTACCTAATCAACGACTGTTGATAAATGATACAATAATTTAAATGTTTTTATACGAGGAAATAACCTCGTAGCTTTATAATGCTGTTCCGTCTAAAGTTTAATAGAAAACGACTGGAAGGTTGATAAGCAATGAAAATGAATAATGGCTTCCAGTACAACAGTCGGACATTTCCATTAGAAACACATTCAAACATAAAGAAAGATATAAATTATAATGTTTTTTTAATGGTTAACTTTTTACTACTACTATTGTAAAAATATTTTGAATGAAGTAGACTGGTAATGCAGAGATCATATTCACATTGAAATCAGTAGCATTGTCTTGAAATAAATAATTTCTTATATAATTTACAGCTCATTCATGATATATAGGGTGTCTCAACGTCATAATATTTTTTTTACATATTAACATGTGTTTTAAAAAATTAATAATGTGACGTAATCAGTATTAAAATGAATCCAATAATCTTAAGTAAAAATAATCAGAAATTAGTTAATGCAAAAAAAGTGATGATCATCTTGAAATGTCATTTAACTGCCTTTGAGGAATATTTTTTTCATCATCAGACACACGCTCTTAGGACTATATAAATTTTTTGTACTCATTTTGTTTTACTTTCAATATTAGTGTGAAAACAATTTAAATATTAAACTTAATTGAGACGCTCTATATAACATATTTGTGATTCAATTAATATGCATAAGTATATTATGATAGTTTCTTTATGTGTTGTCTTTTCATGTTGTATTCTTTTTTTCAACAATTATTTCTGATAACAAAACGTTTGATTAATTTCACATCTCAATAACATCCTTGAAAAATGAATATTTGAGATATCAAGTAAATTTCATTATCTATTAGAATTATTTGATTCGCAACCATCACGTTAATGTGTTGTTAATGCACACGCATCTATTACACACATTCCAAGTCTTTGTATGTTAGAAAAAAATGAGATGAGACTTCTACATTACTTAGCACCATCAAATGGAGCTAATAATACTGCAATAATTATTGCAGATAAAATAACTATTCCAAAAGTACATAAAACAAATTGTAAAGACAGAACATTCGTGATGTAATTAAAAAGAAAGGAAAAACTATCTTGATGGACTGATGTACATAAATCGAATGAGTTGTAAATACAATAAGTAGGATATGTAATAATGAGAAGGGAACAAGATATTGAAAAAAGGCAGTAGTTATACATACGATCGTGTGATAGAATATGGTTCAAAACTATTTTTATGTATGATGTGAAAACATTCTGTCAATGTATGAGTGTTTGTTATAATTTTAGCCTTTCACGTTACTTTCACACACATATTTTAAGTACTTCTATTTTACAAGATCCTTAGTAAATTAATATTTATTATTGAGATGATGTATAGCTGCTGCTGAAATATGAAAGGCTAAAATTATATATATGAATGGACATTTGTTAAAATCGTTGGGTATATTTTAAGAAAGTAATGTAATAATCATTATTACACATTATATATACATGTTATATATAGTTAGTTTTGTACATAAGTTATAACAGTTAAAGTCCTACCAATATTAAAGTCTAAGAACAAAATAATCAGTTTTTTGAATGCTACTTATATATGTGCATGTATTTATAGATTTATGTCCAGAAAAATTTTCTTTTTAAGTAACGAAACTTTCTTTTTCTTTATAAAAGTATTGTTATATCACATTGTACGTTGTAAGATTTGCATCGTCGATACTTAAATAGTAAACAAAAACTGATTCTTATGGTGTAATAAAATATTTCATCATCAAAAATATAGCAGTAGGTATTAAAACAAATTATTTTTATAATTACAACATTTTTTTATTACTATAATAATATTACTATAATTTTAGCGACTGTATAGAATGGTTATGTTTTATATGTATATATATATATACATATATATATATATATATATATATATACTTTTAAAAAGTATAAAATATTTTAGTATTACTTTTTCCTAAAAGCCAGTATCGCACTGGCAATAAGTTTATGCAATTCACTGTGTATTATTCATGTTAGTTTTATCACAACACCTTGATGCAGTTTTCACGATGATCACTAAATAGTATAATTCGTTTCTATCTGTAAAATTGTTGTTGATGCTGTGACCATTGAGACTGTGGGGGAGGTGGTTGTTGTGGTGGTGGTGGGCCATATTGTGGATCTTGTATATATCCAGTGGGAGATGGCCTTATCGAAGTTGGGGCAGAAGATACATATTGTTGCTGAGATGGAGGTTGTGGCACGTAAGATACTTGTGTTGGGTGTTGAGCTTGTGGATAATATTGTTGTGTTTGTGAAACAGGTGGTGGAACATTGTACGTTCCATAATTCACTTGTGGAGGTGGAGGAGGATAATAATGATGACCTTGCTGAGAATGTATTTCATGTGTTGCCATTGTAGTGTCTTGGATGGGTACGGTTATGAGATTAGTTCGCATGGGTCCATTACTAGGAGGTGGTGCAGAATTTTGTGGATAATTTTGCATAGATATGATTGTTTGTGGTCTATGTTGTTGTCTATGTTCCACAGATTGTTGATTAACCATTGAATTCACTCTTGGATCATTTCCCATAATGGGTTGCACCATATGAGATTGCACTGGCTTTATTCGTGAATTCTGCATTGAAACAGAAGACACTTTAGACAACTGTGATTCAATATCTGATTTAGAATGCACGTATTGGGATGGTTCAACTGGCATTCCTTGAACCGGTTGTGGAGGAGCAGATATATGCCGATGATTAATATGTGCCTAACAGAAATGATCAGAATTACTCTCTTTGATCATCGAATGTATTTACATAAAATTACAAAGTACCTGCAAATCTCGTTGACTGAGATACGTTCTTCTACAACCAGCATTCCCATACCTTGTTCCCCCATGAGTACACATAAATACAGTACCCAAACCTGTTTGTTCTACTCTGGAAACCTTTTCCATGCAACGCGGACAAACTTTATCTTCTCGTTTGGCACAAGATAAACAAAAGACATGTTTACAAGGTATCTACAATAATATAATAATTACATATTTTCTACTGTCGATTATATATGTATATATATATATATATAATAGTGTCATAGAGTATATATACATATGTTGTTCATAAATGACTATATCATTATCATATCTCACCATACGTCCATAAATAAGAATAGGCTTCATACATTTGTCGCAACAATGTATCATAGGATTAAGAACTTTTTCACCGATGAGATTAACACGATGGTCCCATCTTAACCGTAACATAGGTTCAGGGGGTCCTCTATTAATAGTTGTAAAAGTGGGTGCCTCCAGTTGTGATATATCTGCTTCCAAATCAAACTGCTGCTCCAAAGGAGCTTGCTGCAATGGTGGGGGTTCATGTTCCTCCGGTTCTCCAGTAGTAACTTCTGCTGGGGTTTCTTCTGTTTGTGGTGGTTGATCTTCTTCATCGCTTTCAATAACCTAAAAATATACATACATTTTTTAATTTACAGAATAAAATAATATACAAATCATTTCTTAAGACTTAAAATTTGTTATCTATTTACTTTAACTTGTTTTTTTGATCTTCCTCGAGTCCTGCCACGAGCACGACCACGGGCTCTACCACGAGCTCTGCCTCTCATTCTTTTACCGCCATCTTCCTCCATCACTGAAATTAATATTAAGTGTCAAAAAACTAGTAAAACGGTGAATACATATAATATTCCTAGGACTAGATAATTATCGTCTTATTTATTATCGGCACTATAATAATATTTTATAATAAAGGTTATGTGTGTGACGAAGTTTAAAGTATACGATATAGATTAAAATGAATAAATAAGACAATAATACTAATATTTGTAATTACATAAACTAAATAAATAAATTTATAAATAGTACTTACAATTAAAAGGTCTTATTTCGAAGAAAATATTTTGATTATACAGTATGTTACTTATTTCCGTTACATCCCGTCATTTCATATAATACATTACTTCGTTCTTCAACGAGTTGATCCATGTGACGTACTCTTATCGTTTCCATAGAAACGACATTATAGTTGTGTGTGTGATTACAGGTATGTACATATTCCAGTTAGTACCTTATGCATTATTAAATATTGTTTCATGTTGTACTTGCCAATTTAATTTAATCACCTTTCAATATTGTTTATCTTTAAGCGTATTATTATTAATTATTTTATTACTTAGATATAAAAATATGAATATAATTGTTAAATGTAACGATTATAAAAAAATGTTACTTCATGAACAATCAATGTCACATTTATTTTATTTTCCCGCTCATGAATAATTTCATTGTGTGTGTGTAACGTCATATAAACTTCACATTAAGCGCTTCAATTGTTACACACAGTGATTTAGAATTTAGAATTTTATTATAATTACAGAATAAGAAATGTCTTGTTGTGGTGAAAACGATGAAGAGGAACAAATACCACAACCAACTCGAGTCAGAGGATGCACAGATATTTTCTGGATGTGCCTTTTTATAGCATTTTGGTTTCTTATGGTATAGTAAAAATGTTTATTTTTCATACTATATTTTTTAATGTTATAATATAAATGTTATATGGGGGGCTGACAATTTGTCAGTTTTGAAATCAAATTATTTTATATAACTGAAAGAAAATTTAGTTTATATTAACATCAATAACAAGAAGACGCATAATATTATTTACTTTTGCAATTTTATCAATTTTATCTTCTATTATTTGTTTATATAAATGCTTCATGATATGGTACTATGTTTGATTTTTTAATTATCATAATTTATAGATTTTAATAGCAGCTTTCGCATTGGTATATGGTAATCCATTACATCTTATTAATGGATACGATAGCTTTGGAAATACGTGTGGTACGAAAAATAATCAAAAATTTGGAAGCATGGAGCTTTTTGGGCAAGATACTAGTGAAAAACCGTTAGTTCACATTTATATTAGATTTTATTTTGCATTGTTTTTTATTAATATTATTAGTTAATTAATTTTCATTATAATCTTTCCAGATATTTGTTTTTCCTTGATGTGAAAAATGTGTCACAGTCTTTAAAAATTTGTGTGAAAAAATGTCCAGATAGAACTATGAAGACCATGGATGAAGTATGTCAATTTTATAAAGAAACAGGTTCTCAGTTATGCCATGATAAACCAGGAAATAATTTTAGTGCTTGTAGTACCGGAGTTTATAAGCACAATAAGACAAAACCTTGTCTTGAATTACCTGTTTACAATAGTGTCCCGATACTTAATCGTTGTATGCCAAAGGCTGTTCAAGATGTAGGAGAAACAATTATTTCTAATTTATATGGGCTCATTAACTCATGGGATGTAATTGAACAAGTATTAGGTGATTTATATAAAACTTGGAGAGAAATCTTAGCGTTATGCTTTTTGGCTTTTGGTAAGTAATATTATCTTGATCCACAATTGCATTATTTAATATGTTTTAAAATTAATACAGAAATATTTTCTAGTGCTGTCCCTTTTTATGATTGCTATATTTCATTTACTGGCAAGTATTGTAACTTGGATAGTAATGATTCTTGTTAGTATTGCATCAGTAGGTAAGAAATATAATTGATATTTTATTATAAATTAATAATTATAGTTTTAAATATATATGTATATTAAAATGTTACAGGTGGAACAGGATTATTATGGTGGACATATATAGGAATAAAAAGAACGTTAGATAAAACTGATCCAAATCAACTTTTAGAAGAATCAGTTAGAAATGAAAGAGCTTTTTTAGTATTTTCTATAATCGCAACAATAATAACTGTAAGTATGATTTATTTATTTTTTTTAATCATATATATCTAATTAATACAAAGATATTAATTTAATAATATTTTTCTTTCTTGTAGATAATATTATTGTTACTCGTTTGTGTTTTACGTAAACGTATAAGCTTTATGACAGCATTGTTTAGAGAAAGTGCAAAATGTTTAGGAGAACTACCCGGTTTATTTTTTCAACCATTATTAACCTTTACTGCTTTAATTTTATTCTTTGCCTTTTGGGTTGTAGTCATTTTATGTCTTGCTACAGCTAGTAAGTATATTTACAACATTTTTTAACACTATATATATAGTATATAAAACTGGTTTTAAATTAAGCAAAAATGAATTTCAGATTATCCGGGAACAAAATCAGTTCAAATGTATAAAAATCATATATTTAATCCTCTAAATTTAAGTTCTGTTGGAGAAAAAAGTATCTTATCACAAGAAGAAAGACTAAGTTTTTCTATAGATAAATTTAAAAGTAATCTATTTCATATTTTTTATATAATTATAAGTGATAAAAATAAAATTCTTTTGTTAATCTATAAATCTGTTTTAGCGTTTACATTTGTTGAATATGTTGATGCAACCTGGGTAAAATATATGTGGTGGGTTTATATCATAGGTTTGATCTGGACATCAGAATTTATAATTGCTTGTCAAGATATGGTAATAGCTGGTGCAGTTGCACATTGGTATTTCAGGTAATGTTTATTGCAATTAATCAAAAGTAAATGTATAATCAAAATATATATAATTTATATATAAAAATATATTCCAGAGATAAGGATGCAAGTATGTCACCGGTATGTTCAGCTATTGGAAATTTGATTAGTTATCATTTAGGGTCGGTTGCTTGTGGATCATTCTTAATAACTCTTTTTAAATTACCTCGTCTTATTTTGACATATTTGCACAAGAAGTAAGTAAAAAAGTAACTAAATATACTGTGAAATTGTTTATATTAATTAAGTTTTAATTTCATTACGTAGGTTTGAGAAAAATAGAGAAACCTCTCCTTGTGCACAATGCGGTTTAAAGTGTTGTATTTGTTGTTTTTATTGCTTAGAAAAGTTCATTAGATATATGAACCATAATGCATATACGGTTGTTGCCATAGAAGGAACTAATTTTTGCAATGCTGCCAGAGTTGTAAGTCCTAAGTGATTATTATTTATTAATATTTAAAATTTAAACTATACATTAATTACCTCTGAAAAATTTGTATTTGTTACAGGCTTTCAAAACAATTGTTGATAATGCTCTACAAGTAGCTGTAATTAACAGTATAGGAGATTTTATATTATTCTTGGGAAAATGTTTTGTCACGGCCGCTACAGGAAGTGTTGGATTACTCTTCATGAGACAGGATCCACGATTGCATTTTTATGCAGCACCAATTTTTGTCACTTGTGTATTTGCATTTTTCATTGCTCATTGTATTATTTCTTTATACGAGGTATATATAAATGCATATATTCTTATATTTAAGTATTATAAAGTAACGTATTTTATCAGCTGTAATTCTTGTTAATATTATTTCTTTCTATTTTCAGACTGTTATAGATACTCTGTTTTTGTGTGTATGCGAAGATAGAAATTTAAGTGGAGAAAATGGAAAATGGCGTCAGTCTCCATTAGCACAAATTGGATCAGATGTTAATACTAATGGTCAACAATCTCATGAATTATCACCAATGAATGCCTAAATTCACATTTAAATAGTATTAATTTATATTGATAACTCTTCCATAGCTTATTTAAATGTTACTTAGGTATAATTTTTCTATTATCATTTTACGTTATAATGTATTATTATTAATTTCAGTATTTTATGAAAATTACGATTATTTATCGCGATAACTATATTTACTTTTATTACAAAGCATTGTATAATTTATATTATACAATATAGATTAGTAGTAAAAGTTTAAATATTTTAGGTATATTGATTTTAAATAATATAAACGTCAAAATGAAATTTATAATGATATATAATATATATAAATATATATATGAATCAGAACCAATCAAGAGAAATATTATTGATGTGCATTATATATATGAGATTTTTATATGAGATATTTTATCTATGCAATGACATATTTATATACGATATTAGATTAATTGCAGATTTTATAAGATAGATAAATACAAATTTAAATTTGCTGACAATTTTACTAATACAAACGGAGGCTTTAGATTTGTAAAATTAATACGAACTTCATAAGGATTACGTATTTATATATTTACTTAACAGTTAATATATATTTTTTAAAGAAATATATTATGTATTTATAATGTTAATATGACTACTATAAAATATGACTTATATATATATACATAAGTGCCTTTAAATTTGTGCAAAAAGAGTTATAATTGTCAATAACATTTCAATCGAATTAAATAATATTTATTTAATACGAGCGTATGTACAAACTTATGTCTTTTATAGTATAAGTTATGTAGTTCATATTAACATAATAGTATCTTTATATTATATCAATTAGTTTACACTATTATTTCTTTATAATTATTAAATGTCGTCTACAACGCACATTTAATTGCAATGTTAGTAACATGAATATGAGTGAGCTATATATAAGTATATGAACTGTTATATATTATATAAATTGTCTACAAACATTTATGTCTACGATATCTTGTGACATTTTCTTATGTCTTTTTAAAGTATTATTTTAAACAAAGCCATTTGTTCATTTAATAATTTAGTGATTAATACACTGATAATGAGAAGTGTACTTATAATATTACTTGCTATAAATTTATTAATATAAAAAATCATATATTATGATAATATAAGGTACAAATACAGAACAAATATAAACAAATTTTAAGAACAATATATAAGTAAATTTTATTATTGTGTAAGAAGAATTTATTTACACATAATATAAAAAACTTAATTAGTGTTTTATATTCTTTTTTACTTTCTTCTTTATCATTTTTTTCTTTTTTAATTGTTTATTCGGAAGTTTTTTAATTTCTTTTTTTATTCTATTCCTTCTTGGAATTTCTTTTTTCTTTTCTTCTTTCTTTTCTTCATTTACTTTATCCTTATTTTCTAACTCTAAAGCCTTTTCAAGAGGATCGCCCTTAAATATTTCATCCAGAGGATTTAAATCATAACTTTCTTTTGGTTTATTAGCTTTCTCTACCATCTTTTGTTCCAATCTGTCCACATATTTATTACCAGCTCGTTTACTAATTAATTGTCGAAACTAAAATTATAAATATGAATAGATTATATGATTTCGATGTAATTCTACTTAAAATTATAGCTATTATTATTATTATTATTATTATTATTATTATTACCTTAGCAGGTGAAACATAAAGAGGATTATCCCATAATGTATCCCCACCAAAACTACTAGAAAATATTTTAACTGGATTTAAAACAAATCTAGGACCAATTTCAGCTAATCCTCCATCTTCTGTGAGAATTTGGAAATTTCTAAACCATATTCGGTTATCTAACACTGTAAAAGTATAAACATGATCGAAGAATGGTTGACTTTTTGGATGATGATTTGGAACGCCAAATATTTGGGTAAACAATTCTTTTAAGAGACTGTAATGTGGTTTAGTGTTAAAATTTTCATCAAATGAAAGTAAAGGACGAGATCCTTTTAAACAATTTCCAGTCATTTTTAATTCGCCCATGGTATAAACTAAAATAAAAATAGTTTATAAGATAACTTTAAGTAGATTATATCATAAACGCTGAATATAAAATATAATATTATAATATTAATAATAACATAATATAATATTTTAGTACAGCTGCATAATTCACTAGTGCATGCACATAAGATTCTACTATATAGGTTAATTACAATGTGAATACACATTTTATCATGAAATAGATTAAAAAAAAAGGGATATTACAATGTAAAACATTTTAACTATGGTCACCGACAGTACATCACAAGCATCAAATGTTGGATGACTATAGTTATTAATAGTATCAAAAGGGTTTAATAATATAGATTTGATAAATTTTATGAATAATGAAGTAATACATTACGTACTATTTTCCACTAAAAATTTAACACACGGACCCACAGATATATTAGAAAACCAAACATAAAGGTCCCTTTTCTTTCGGCCTTCAAAAAGTATACATTTATTGCAATTTTTCATTCGACATATCTCATTGACCACTTGCAAATCTTTTGAACGTTCCATTTTACTCTCAGCTCTATGATGCGGCATAAGATTCTTTATATCTTCCATGAGGTGACGGTGTAAATAACCAATACCTCTGGTTGAAAATACTAATACACGTTGCCTGTTTATCCATTTAACCTAATAAAAATTGTTTAATGATTTATTTATTATTTTCTTATAACTTACCCTTAAATAATTCTTCATTTCAATAGTTACAGTATATATGTAATTTCCAAAAGTGATATAAACTAACCTTTTTGGGCGGAGGTTCATCCGACATTCTTTTTACTGGTGGTAAATTCGTTTCTGTCGTTTCCTCATTTTCCAACTGTTTTCTCTTTTTCGTCATGATTTAAAAACAATTTATAATAATATTATTAAACAAAAGTTAAAATGTAATTGAAAACACATTAAACAAACGTGGGTACAATTGCACGTTAACATGTGCTTCCAACGTGAGAGCCTTCGTGCGCATGCGCATCAGTGCAGCCAGATCGTGGGTAAATCGTACCCTCTCCCTGTGCCACTATGGGATTGCACACAATGAAAGTTACCCATGTCCGTGTGTTTGGGATGTCGAAAGAAGTCGAGTGTAACCGAAGTTGGCGGGCACGCGGAACACATGGACACGAGTCGCTTTCATAGTGTGCCACTCCGGCGTGCCCGCCAAGTGCCAACTTCGGTTACACTCGACTTCTTTCGACATCCCGAACACACGGACGTGGGTAACTTTCATTGTGTGCAATCCCACAGTGGCACAGGGAGAGGGTACGATTTACCCACGATCTGGCAGCACAGGCTCTTCCCAGTCGTTTCCCGCGATTTTCGTTCAAGTGACGGTGAGTCGCATAATGTTATATAATATGTTTAATTGTAGTGCAATATTAGTGTATTACAGTGGCAGAAACCAAAAGATGGATTACCAGCAGCCTAGTTTACTAGAAGTGCAAAACGATCAGCCATCCTGTGGGAATTTCAGGAATTCTTTGAAGTAGAGTCACGACAAATTTTAAAATTTTCAAGTACAAGATGGCTCGTCTTACAGAAGTGTGTTACAAGACTTCTCGATAATTGGGAAGTTTAAAAACATTACTTGTACCTGGAAACTTTAGAAAATAAAAATAATTTGACAGCATCTATTTTAATTTCTTTAAACGACTGTAAAATTAAAGCCTTTATGCTATTTTTAAAGTATTCTTTAAATTCTTTTAACGATTTAAATGTTTTGTTCCAAGATAGAAAAATTTTAATACATAAATTGGCAGACACTACTGAATTTCAAATTTTTAGATGCAAATATAGCTTTGCGCGAGGAAAGTAGATTGCCCCTTTCTAGATTTAAGAAATGTAGCAAGCTATCGTTTTTGATGACGAAAACAAATCTCTTTTGGCCAATTTAGAAATTGATGATACGTCGAAGACTATCTTTGAAAAAAAAAATTTTTAAATGAAGAACCGCTTTTTCTAAATTTAGAAGTTTTAGTTCAAGCAGTTTTATTTCTTCCAGTATGCACAGGTGCATGATTCTTTGCGCAATATTAGGATATTTTTATTTATGTTTTTTTATATATTTTATGAAATAATATTTACTATATATTTTGTTTTCTTTTTTTTATTTATTTTTTACTTCATGAGGCAAACATATGTATGTGATTAATCTGTGATAAATATCTTGGTTTTAGCAACCTCCTGAGGTTGCTTAACCGGAGCATATTTTTATTTAAACGAGATTTTAATTTATTATGTAAATAGTATATTCTTATATATGTTTTATATATAATGTTTTTGTTTGAATACTAGTAAGGTTTTCTGCAGTTTTCCTTACTCTCGCAACAAATGTTGTTATTCATGTAATAAATTGGCTGCAGATGTACAAAATAATAAAAAAATATATATTCATTTATTTCCATGTAAATATGTTATTTCTTTTAAAAATGTCCTCTTCCTGTAATTTCTACCATATTTCAATTGTCATGGGGGTCTAACGATACCCCATATTTGAGTAAAGTATATACATTACTGAGGATTAGGTAATGCGCATGCGTGGGAAAAATCCACGTCCTGGCATCACTGCTTCCAATAACATGAGTTTCCGTTTCGTGCGCATGCGCGTTAGTTCAAATGAAATAAACTATAAACATTTTTCAAATTGAATGGATTGCATAGTTTACATTAATTATAATATACATAATCATAAAATAGAGTGTTTTGAACTTTCATCGCTTTATTCATGCGAAATGATTTGCTTCATGTTCATACAATGAAAATACAAATCAAGTATTAAATCCAGTGATGAACATTCATAAATTGTATCCATCCAGTCTTACGAAAAACGCACCACGCTTAAAATTATAAACCTTTATTTTATTATCACACGTGTATTAATAATACGTGTATATATTAGTAATACGTCGATTAATTTTTAATATTTCTTATTTCGTTATCGTTAATTATCACTTTATATAGCTGGGTATAAAATATATGATAAGAAAGGATATTCACATTAAACGGTAGGTAACATTCTTACAGACTAATAACAAATTATGGAATAATATCGCGAACTTTGCTTATTTTAAATACATTACGTTTCTTTTTTCTTTTTCGCTAATCAATTTATAAACAATTCATGATCCAATAGTTGCTTGTAATCTATATATTTATGTATATGTATATATCACATAATCAACATATCTTGCATAAAATATACATGATGGATGTATATATGTAAATATATGAATTATATCGAAACTATTGTGATCATGTTACAATGTTACTTAATTCACATTTTTAAGAATACACAAACGTGTCATCTCGTGAATATATATGCATGAACAATTATACACAAATTATATCAATTAAATAGCATATTTTTATAATTTTTTATATTTTATCAGATTATTAATGCTTATTAATATACTTAATTAAGTATAAAATATTTTGTTAAGGAAATATGATTGAGTTGTATTCAAATTGAGTTACATATAAATAATACTTTCACATTAACATTGTTCTAATGTCATCTTTATATTTATTATTTATTTCTAACAATATTTATAAATTAAGAATTAGTTATATAAGTACTTAGAAAAAAAAAGAAATCTTATTATAAAAGCTAAGTTAATAATAGTAATATTTTAAAAAGTAAATGGAATAATTCAATATTAATAATAATTGATTCACTGTTTAATCATCTCAAATATCACATTATACTTAAAGATTATAAGCGATCATTATTTTGTTACTATAGACATGTTCTCTATTTCTATCTAAGGCAAACCAATCAAAACTTTAAGTATTTATATAAAGCATCTAATTCCTATTGTTATAGATACATTTTAAAATGTATTTATAAGTTAAAATATTTATTTGGGTCACACATGGACCAATGAAAAGCAATGAAATAAATTTGTTTTTGTTCATTCAATATTCCATGCCGGAAAGATTTGCGATAGTAAGAAACTATTATCAATCGACTATTATGCATTAAGAGTATATTTTATTTATTACATATTTTCGTTGATCTTGGTAATTCATGCACTGCAAAATATGTCCAACCTTATTCATACCTATCACAAAACAATGACATATGAAGATATAAATGATGACTAAATATAAGGACTATATTTTTTAGTACATAGTTTAAATGATAGTAGTGTAATAAAAAAAATGTGACTAGCAGTTCGTTTAAAAAGTTTCAAAAACTTAGTAAATAAAAAAAAATGTTTTTACATGTATAAATGCTTTATTACAACAGTTAATCTTAATCACAATGTTTCGAGACTGTATTAAGTTTGTAAATGCTATTAAAAATTATATTAGAGCAGATCTTTGAAAAAAAAACTGTGCGCAATGAAGGTATAAAAATTTACAATCTAATATATTCCGGAGCATAAATCTTCGCTTGAAAATGATGTCCTTTTTTGTAAACAAATAATTTCTAGCTTCAATTAATATAAGAAAATAATATACTATAAAATTGTGCATCTTATTTGTACAGTCAATTATTCTTTGTTAATATAAATTCGATCAGAATTTCAGCAATACTTGGTGTTCAATTAAAAATCTATCTAGACTATCTATGGTAAATAATACAAATATTTTTGTTCCCTTTCTGAAAAAAGTGAGATGAAAATGCTAAATCTATTCATTCTTTATTAATAGTAAAGTCCAGGTATAGAACACATATTTGCACATGAACTGCCTTCGAAGTTCTGACATATAAAAATGCTATATGATACATTCACTTTCATAATACTGTGAATGGATTTCATCTTAATTCTATATGAAGTATTAGGATTTTTCTGCGATAGCATTATACATGGACTTATTTTTTGGAAATGGAAAATGCCAGTTTAAATTTGAAAAAGGATTGAAATGTTAATTACTTAATACTTAAATTTGTTTATAGTAAATTTTTTCGACTGGAATGCATTGATAACACTTTGGTTTCAATAAAAGGATATTAATTTTATGATTGTATTAAAATTAATCAAATTTATATTAAAATAATGTTATAAATATGATAAAAAGTTAATAAAATACGTTAATTTGTGGGCGATCAATTATTGAACAAATTAATATTTTACATATTTTAATTTTAATGGTTTCTATGAAAATAAAAACATTTAAAATAGCAAGATTCTACATATATGAAATTCTAATTAGAGCAAAGGAAACCATTGTTTGTTAACATATTTTATAAAAATTGTATTGCTAGTCATCAAATTTAATTTTCTAATATTTTCATTAATTTAGAAACATTTTTCAAGTCAATATTTAACTTAAAAGAATATACATTAACATATAACTTTTGAAAAACTAAATGAATTTTTTTTCGTGAAAACAAAGATATAAAGTTAAAATATGAAATAAATATAATTGGTAAATACATATATCTGATTTAAAAAAAAAAAATAACATGATTACGCATTAAAACTAAAAGCCAATCCAAATTAAACCGAAAACTTAAGTTGCTTCAACAACTAGTCAAATCATGCAGAAAAATAATTATCTAATTAAACCTAAACTCTTTTTTTTTCTAGAGTCTCAGTTGCTTCTCCATTGGCAGTAATTTTACATTTTTTTAAAGGGTGATTGTACATGGTTTGCAGTGGAACATGAAGGAGTTCCATAATTTGTATGAAGTTAGGCTCTGTAACAGTAATATTAGCATATTTAAAAAATATACCATTAGTCTTATTTTTTCCCCTTTTAAATCCTATTATTAAAATCTTACCATTCTCTGCAGTAATGTATCCATGTCTAATTAAAAAGTCAAGTACAACTGGGACTGATGTAGTTTTAAAATTTGTAGAAGCTATCCTTTCTAAACATTCATTTACTGGAAGCAATTCGAAAGTTTCTACTTCTCCATCACTATTACTTGGAATAAAATCTGGCGGCAATTCAAGATCAAAAACAAATTCTGTATTGGGAAACAATCCTCTTTCACTTTCGAAGAATAATGAAACACATCCAACACTTTTTAATTTTTCAATAAGATTCTTAGGGATACTGGCTTCTTCTCCAGCTTCTTTTATAGCAGTTTCGTTAATACCAAAACCAACACTTAATCCACCACTGACCATATTGTCCCAATATCCGGGCCATGTTTGCTTATTAGGACTACGCTTTTGTAACCATATTGACAAACCTTTTATAGGATCCATAACATATCCATTTATATCAACACCGTATTTACGAATTCCAAATAAACCTGTATATACACAAAATTAGATCAAACTAGAAAATCGTATATTACATTATAAAGTAATATGCTTACATGTTGCAGATCGATCCATTTTAAATAAAGGTTTTGCATTAAATTGAGCACGGACTTCATAATATTCTTCCCTCCAACCGCGTAATGTTATAAACTTTTCATCCGCCTTCCATTTTCGTAGTACTTCTTCCACACGAGCACTTCTTTCGTCATAATCCCGGAATGCAGGATTTAGTTGTACAAACTCAGGATCCACTTGAAATACCTTTCAATTATAAAAATATTTATTTAGAGAGCAAATAGTTTTCTTCTATATATAATAGCAAAAGACAAAATACTCACTTTTGGATGATTTAATAACTCTGTCATAACATCTGGTCGTACAAGCCCAACTTGCTGTCCATCGACAACAAAGGCTCTGCATTTACCTGTATGGAACCCTAAACATATTTGACTTAATTTAGTAAATATTTTATATATTCCTATAAATATACCACAAAAAATTGTTTCTTGAATAAATATATATTAAATGATGAAGAGCAACAGCATAGATAATATCAATAAGAGATATTTCAAGATATTGTTTAAAGAAAAAAAGAAAGAAAGTAAACAGTATATCATGTAATAATAATATATGCACAAAATCCTAAATAAAGTCATAACATTTTAGACAGTAAGGTCTTTATATAACATATTTAAAGTATTATTTCTAAAGTCTTTGATGTAACCTTATACTAGTAAATATTTATAATAAAAAATTAAAAGATATAACGTATAATAATAATACAAACTTTAATGTAAAATAATTATAATGTTATTTAAATGAAAAGAAAAATGATATAAATAAATCTTAAGATTGTGCAGCGTTTCTTTATTTCAACGAAAGTACGAAGATAAATACGCAACACTTGAAATCAATATCTTGGCGGACAGTATGAAAAACAGCGCGTCCTATATTACTACATGGTTTAGAAGGTGATATTTATATCAAATAATGAAATTATAGTTTAATTTAGCTTACCTGACAGATAAAAGCAATTGACTTTGTTTGCAAGTTTTAATAAACGTGACATTGGATCCGTATGATTATCCGTCATGGTGTTTCGACCTCGTCAGCCAGCTGTGATAAAAAATCCTGGCATCGAGCAAAAGATACGTCAGATACGTGTTAGATTGGCTTTCTGCGCATCCTATATATTCATTTCTAAATTAAACGTTCTTTCTGATTGGTTAAACAGTTTCTATGCGTCCGTTCTAAACCAATACGATGAAAGATACGTTCAGATTCGACTTGACGAACAACTAGTTACTTTGAACGGTTTTTATTTTTTTCTTATCTTCAAAGTTAGTTTATTTGACAAACAAAACTAATTCCAACCAGTAAGATATGAGATTAATGACCCTTTTAATTAAATTCTTGATATCATTATAAAGGTTATCGGTTTTTTTTTCAAAATTGATATGGTAACTTATATAATTTTTGAATTTTTTTTAAACATTATTAAAATATGTATAATATGTGGTATATAATGATTATTAGTGGCATTATTGCAAAATTCAATACAAAATGTCAAAGTGACAATTTACAAGAATAAATTTACAAACATATTACAGCGTTAGATAAAATTGAAATAGTATATTTCTAAAATAATTTATTTAATGTGTTACTGTCCTTCAATATTTTTTTTCTCTTCTGAAACTCTTTCAAAAGCTAATAAATATTTGATAGAAAGAGAAGATTAATGTTCTGATTCATAGAATTTCTAATTGTTTCCACTAGATAGCGCCACCATTTAGATAGTTATACGAGCATTAATCAGCAAAGCACATGGTGTATGGGTTTGTGTATTGTCTGCTTAAGTTTTATTATTTAGTTAAATAAAATAATTTAAACGCGATTTTTAATTACAATGACGACTGTATCTGAATCTGATTCGGAAGTTAATTCTTCGGACGAAGAAGTAAGAATTTTATATTTATATTTTTCTATTGATAAAATTTTTCATGTACGTAACCTAACTTTTTGTTTTTATATGTGCAGTTACAAGAAGCCTTTGCATCGGGTTTATTAAAACCTGGCCTCAATGCTGTTATTGAGACAAATAAGAAGGTTCACAAGAATAATATTGTAAGTAAAACATTATAGTATTTTTAAAATATTGTTTCACAATCGTAATAAATAATTTACACAAACAATTTAATTTTGTAATACTAATTTGAAATGTTTAGGGTTTAATGAAAGCAAAATTAGAAGAAATAAAGTTAACTTTGCCATGGGTAGAACGGTTGGATATGGTCAATACTTTGGCACCATTAGCGCCAGAGTTAGCGCTTCAAATGCAAGACCAAGAAGTAAGACGCGCTAAACAATTACAAGGAAACAAAAAATTACCTCAATTCGATCCGTCAGAAGATCCGGTTTTAAATGATTTTCGTAGAGAAACAATGTTTCATCGGCAAGCACAAGGCGCTGTTGTTGATGGCATTGCAAGGTTAAAAAAACTCGGTGTCCCGGTTACAAGACCGGATGATTATTTTGCTGAAATGGCTAAAACTGACAAACAAATGCAAAGAATTAAAGAAAATTTAATGAAAAAGCAATTAGTTGCACAGAGATCAGAAAAAGTAAGGCAGTTGAGACAACAAAGGAAGATTAGCAAACAGATGCAAGTTGAATCAACTTTGAAAAAACATGCAGAAAAGAGAAAAATGTTAGAGGAAGTGAAAAAGTATCGTAAAGGTATAAGACAAGATTTAGACTTTTTAGATGATAAGAAGAGATCACTAAGTAAGTCAGGTAATAGAAAGCTAGATCCAAAAGTTCAAGCTAAGATTAAGATGAAGAATTCAAAGTATGGTTACGGTGGTAAAAAGCGTGATAGTAAAAGAAATACCAAATCTAGTTCAGCTGATGTTTCTGAATACCGAAAACCTCAAAGACCAACTCAGGGACGTAAGGGTAAAGGTGGAAAGACAAAACAGCAAAGGCCTGGCAAGAATCGTAGAATACAGATGAAAGCTAGGAAAAAATGAAATTGTTTAAATATTAAGTATTCCTATTTTTAAAAAGAATGACGTATAATACGTAAAATAATAAACAAAATTTGTTATTTCTAAATAAATATGTATATACATGATAACTAAATTCTTGGTATAAGATAAATAACCAAATAATCCTGAGCTTTTTACTTTTGTGTCGGTCGTTTGTAATCAATCAGTCGAATAAATATTTTTCGTTTATCAATTATTACTGTTGCTATAATCAAGTAACTAGTAAATATCGATTTTGAACAACTGATTGTAGCAGTTCTTTTATTTTAAATAATTCTTTGGTTCTAGTGACTTTCTTATTATTTCTATATGTATACATTTTAATGTCGAATAAATTTTAACCAATTACATAACTCGAATGGTACTCATAACCAATGGCTACTTTTAAGCGATTAGTATAGATATTAATTATAAATAATTAATAACATCTTTTTATTTAAAAAAATGAATTAACATTATTGTTCTTATTGAAGTTAAAACTTGATCTGGATCGAGCGTTCTACGTGTGTGTCTGTATGTTTGGATGTTTGTACGAGATTAGTATTTATTCTCTTGTTCTTTCTTTTCTTTATGTAAGCGATAATATTCATGTCTTCAGTTATTTAGAGAATATCGAAGTGTTGTTATTCCCGACTTCTTTACTGTTTAAACCGTTGCTAAGCACGCCTGTTGCTATGCTCGTCTGTTAGCATTTTATTTTACATTTTTAGGAAATATCGAAGCGATAATATTCATGTCTTTTATTATTCGGATCTTTCCACTTTTCAAACCGTTGCTAAGTATGCCTTGGTCGGTTTAGCAAAGAAAATCATCCTATTCTTCCACTAGACAGTAGATAAAAACGATAGAGTAGACAAAGGCTGAGAAAAAAGGCTAAGTACCATTATTTTTTATATTTATCATTAACAAGGCTTCGTCGTTGATTTGTATACAGGGAAAACCTGCATAAGGTAAGTCACGCGTCCAATATTTGGTTGGACACCAGTAATTTAGGGTTTGTTAGGCCGTGAAGCTTTTCTTTTAGTTAAGGAGTGCATGGCAAGTGCATTTAGTATAGTGAATTCTATCGTTAACGGCCATACCGTGCTGAAAATACAAGTTCTCGTATAAAGGATGGATCCAGATTGGACAATATAATCAACAGAGAATATGATAAATTAAATAAAGACAGAAAAAAGTGGAATGGCATCTGTGAATTCAACAGTGAAAATAAAGCAAACGATCCGAAAAATAAATCCTTGAAGGAGAATTTAACATACCTCTGTAATAGACAACAACTTAGTAAAATAATTAGCAAATTAAATAATAAAACATCTTCAGGAGTGGATAACATTCYTAACATAGTGATTAAACATTTACCTGATAATGTAATAGARTGCTAYGCAATATTATTTAATAACATTCTTAATAATGCATATTATCCAGTAGGTTGGAAAAAGGGAAAAGTAATGCCATTTTTAAAACCCAATAAAGAGAGGAATAATGTTAACAACTATAGACCAATTTGCCTAATGTCTAATATAAGTAAATTATTTGAAATAGTCATTAATACTACAATTAATCACATTACNTTCAATTTTTCTTTATAATGGTTGTCATAATCAAACTTAACATTTTTTGAAAATATCTTTTTCTTTTTTAGACAAAATCACGTACTTCAAGATTCTTTGTCAACTTCTTAACTATCTATATTAGTAATAGAACTTTTTGACGGTTCAATCCCAAAATTTCCATGAAAACCATGTTCCTCATGAGCGACATGCTTTGTCGTAYCATAACTGTTTACAACGTCGTAGAGGCTGCTAATTGTGGAATCAACGAATTAGGTCTGTTTTACCGTTTTTTGTTTTCTTTTGCTTTTTTCTTTTTTTTTATACTTGAAATTAAGATGTACATGACAAGAGCATATAGTATAATAAATTCTGTCGTTAACGGCCATACCGTGCTGAAAATACAAGTTCTCGTCCGATCACTTAAGTCAAGCAGCACTGGGCACGGTTAGTACTTGGATGGGTGACCGCTTGGGAACACCGTGTGCTGTTAACACCTTCTTTTTTTTTTTTATTCTATGATATTCTTTATGTATATTTAACACGTTCAGTGCGTCTACGCCCCATGTTGAACTTTTCGTTCAAGTCGTTTGGAATTTTTATTGAGAAACGAAGAATTTTTTTTAAATTTATTGTAATGTTAATATAGGCAAAAAGAAGGTAATTATGAAAAACTAAAAATTGTTATCGATTATAACGAAGTAAAATCCTACGTAAAATTTTTCCGATCTAATGTTGTCCTATTGTACTCCTTCACGTAAAGCTTTATGTAAGATAAATTTTTGAAGTGAAAACTTCTTTTGAATCGTTGTAACTTGAAACACGATAAAATGGAAAAGTGACATTAAAAAGAGACAAACATATAGGTCTACAGGATTTAGCCTGCGAGAGAATGAGGTAGAATACAGTATATAGTAGTAACAATATTGTAATAAATAAACCCTACAATTATATTCTACTCCTGATACTCTGCATTCGTCTCATTTTTTCGAAGTTTAGTTTTTTGAAGGTTTCACTACTACCGCGTTTAAACTGCATACATGTTTTTTTCTATTCCTATAAGTATAAATTTAAATATCATAAAACTTTTAGCCAATCACATAATACGAATAATGCTCTTTTTCCTATAATCAATAGCGGCTTTATAAAATTATAATTATAGCGCGAAAAGAGTACTTCATAAAAATTCAGTTCAGCGATGATATCTTAACTTCGAGTTCTTTGTCGGATTCATAATTTTTTGTATTTTATAGTACTTTACGTTTTCAATATGTTTCGTTTAGATATCTTCGTGAAACAATTTTAACGTGCATATATGTATAAACATGAATTAATACGAATAAATCGTAAATTATATTTTTATTGCTTCAAAAGTGCTTAACTGCAATTCGATCGTTAATAAATAATTTATATTATGTTTAATAACGATGAAATATTTAACATTTTGTTGGTTTTCATAGAAAGAGAGAGAGAGAGAGAGAGAGAGAGAGAGAGAGAGAGAGAGAGAGAGAGAGAGAGAGAGAGAGAGAGAGAGAGTTATTAGTTATTTATTATATAATATCTAAAAAAATTAGTTAATTAATTCAATAGTCTAATTTATCTACAAGAATAAGGCAGTTTTACAACATGATGCTACAGGTTTAGATTCATATTGAACGTAATCATTATAAGTATTTTTTACAACAATAAGCAACTTCCCACATTAAGTATTTATTACAAATCAGACTAAATTTCTAAATAAGATCAATATTTATAAAAATTTTGTTCATTCTTTTGGCTTTGTTTGCTCTCCGATAAAATAAACCTTGTATGATTTATAACAGTCAATTTTCGAAAATATTTGTCAGAATGCGATTAAATATGGTGGATCTCGATAATCTAAATAAAAACGTTCAATACTCGATTTGACGTGATAAGACACGCGTTTACACAGTCAATCTGTAATGTTCTTTAGTATCAAAGTGTTAGGTGGAATAAAAATGTGAAAGCTTTTTTATGTAATGCATTGATGTGGAAAATTTATTGAGTAATGAGCCGAGAAGATCGCAGCGTGCGTCGCCATCGTGAAGGTAAAAAGTGACCGGAAGAGGAAATTTCTACCGCAATTATTATCACCATCGAATACCGCAATACCACTAAAGCTATTAGGTAAAATTGCACTGAATTATTGAAATTTCCCGAATTTCAAATCGAATTTGTAGAACACACGTCTCTCTTCCTATCTTTTGGCTATTCGATCGAGTTTAACATTTTGTTATATTATTTCTTTTTTATTAAGCGAAATTATTCTAATGTCAGGACACTCCTCAGAATGAAAAAGACGAAAAATAAAATAAATAATAAATAAATTACATAAATATACAGATTCGTAAAAGTATCTCGTAAATCGTACACCGTTATTAGATTTTTACTTGAAAACTATTGATATATAGGCGGCTCTCGATTCTCGCACATTCTACTTTTGCACAATTCGCTATTTCGCGCATTTTAAACCCATTTGCATCATGACTAGAACTAGTCTTTTTTATTCAAACATCCGCGACATTCAACTTACGACTGACCCGGTATCACCATTCAAATGCTCACGGATAGGAAAACAAATGCTTCTTATGCGGATTATTTCACTTAACACGTCTCTTTAACTTCATTATGTATACATATTGATAGATAAATACTTTAAAATACAGTTTTTGGTACATATTTTTTTACATCCTTATCTTTCGTTCTTTCACATTCAACATTCGCACACACCTTCAGGAACCAACTATGTGCGAAAGTCGAGGGCCTACTGTAATGTGTTTAGAATTCAATTTGATATTTTGTATAAAAAATATTAATAATGTACGTTAGAGTGATCGATATACTTTAAAGGATTGATAATTAGTTGAAAAAAATGAATATTGTAATTTAAAAGCAGGGAATATAAGTTCGACGTACCGTTTTCTTCGAAATCCAAGAGTAAACTGAGATGAGTCATTGTCCTCTGTGAAAGGCAGTTAAAATTTGAATTGTCTATATGACTTTCAGAAGAATAAATTCTATTTATTATTGTAGACGATAAGACTAGTATTTAGTTCTTTCCTTTATATTTTATTTTGAATACGCTATCGATCTTAGTGAAAAAAAAACTTCACTCAAAGATTAAGAAAAATAAGAAGAGTATTCTGGGAGAGCCATAAAATTCCAAACAAACTTAAGAATTATCGAGACATATTGGTGCGACGAAAACCTTTGTGCAGTGTCGGGCCCTTCGAGAGGTTTCGGATTCCTATGTAAACACATGCGATACTATAAGAAGAAATGATATTCTGTTATTCTAGACAAAGTTTCTTTATGCATAACTTCCACTACGATCTTTACCAAAAACATAAGCTGTACCTATCGAATGAACTATGGGGGTGGATTCTTCTACTATTGGTCAATAAGATTCATAATTTCTTTCCCTCTCGAAAGGGGTGTAGCTCATTTCTGATATAAATATGCGAAAGAAAGTAAGAAAGCTGCTGTTTGTATATCCGCTGTCTGCATATATCTGTCTGTATCTATCCTTAGTCTTTGATAATCAGTCTTTTATATCCGTCTGTGTATTATCTGTTATATCAGTCATTCTGCAAATCAGTCAGTTTATCAGTCATATATTTATAACTTATATGTGTCTTATATTTGTAACTCTTTTGTACTTTGTATTTTTGCAACCACGCCACTTTTTGTAAACTATTGTAAATACCGCTCGACATCATAATTAAATAAACTATCATATATTTCTCTCCGAACTCCAATATATATTATTATATTATATTATATATATATATATCATTTTTATTTATAACCCCATATTATAATTTTCATTAAATGTTATGTATTTGTAGCCTTTGGAAAGTCAGAAAAACAACATTGAATACAAGAACTTTCATAAAGGACAACGAGCCAGTTTACTTTTGTATTTTGAAAAAAACGGGTGCGTCAAACTTACAATACTCGGTGATTTCGGACTATAATATACATTTTTTTTGGATTAATTATCAATCAATTAAGGTAAATCGAACACGATACTATACTATTGTGGGGGTGGTGGTGTGGTGGTTGGCGTGGTTTCAGACAGACAGACAAAAATATCTATAAGATTTTATTGAATTGAAATAAAAGAAATGTTTATTATAATATAACAAAGACTTAAGTATTAAGGTTTAAGATAAAGACCGAAAGAAAAAAAGCAAGTAACCAGAGTTAGAAACCGTAACCACACTCGTATAACACTCACTCGTAACACCGAATCAAGAAGGGCCCAGGACCGCCCTCTTCACCGCGCTTATATATGCATTCACCCCACCAATGGTCCCGATCACTTCCGTTAATCATTCTAGAAATCTCCAGACTATTCCCAATCGGTCAAACAAAAAGACTTCTTCCCGATTTCCGGTTCGGGAACATTCGAGAGATTTCGGGGTGTTTACAAACGATGACATCAGCCGATATCGTACGCTTTTCTTTCTTGCCGTATCCATATCGCTGCGGGCACTCACACTCATATCCATATTGCTACAAATCTTTCATCACCACTTCCATGTACACCATACACTCGCACTCT